TATTGTGAATATTAATAAAATCTTTTTAAATTATTAATGAATTTCAAATATTTTAAAATACAAATTATTCTCAATTGTATAAAATATTTTAATAAATGTAGTACTAATTAAATAGTAATTCCTAAATTTTTCTCAAAAACATTTAAATTGTAGCCCATTTTTATTCTAATTTCTTTCAATTCTAGCCAAATCAATTCCAATTTTATTTCAATTATAATCATCCTCTTCCTTTCAATTTTAGCTGATTTAATTACAATTTGGGCCATTTCAATCTAATTTTAAGACTTCATCTATTAATTTCATCCGTCAATTTATTTCAATAAATCTGAGATTGAATGCTAGCGCTACATATTAATAGATTCAAGGGTCTAGATAAAATCTCCCATCTCTACATTTCAAAGACTTCTAAACCTAAAAAAATTATTGTCTCTTCCTCCCCTCCCTCACTCCAGTTGCCCCTCTCTCTCTCCCCCATTCTTTCCGGCGAACCTCCCTTCTCCATAGCAGCCGCCTCCCCTCTCCCGTCGCTCCTCCTCCCCTCTTCTCCCCTTCCCCCGCTCTCTTCTCCTCTTTTTCTCCCCTTCACCCGCTCTATTCTTCTCTTTCCGCTCTCTTCTCCTTGATGCCTCCCTCTCGTCTCTCCAGCGATGGTGAGCCGCAGAAACCTCACCCAATAGCACCACAAAAAAACCGCCGGCGAGAGGCAAGGAACCAGCAGATGTCAGCAACGTTTTTGCCTCTCCACCTCCTCCATCTTCCATTTCTCCTTCCTTCCCCTTCTCCTCCGTCTTTTTTTTTAGGACAGTCAAGCAGCCATAAACCAGCAGCCCGACGCAATCCTCTTCTCTTCTCTTCTCTTCTCCGTCCATTTCTTCCTCTCTTCTCCGCATTATTTTTTGCATCAGTGGCAGCACTCAGACGAGTCTCTAGGCTGTAGCAAGCAGATCTTTTCAGCTCCATCTGGGTATGTTCACTTGATTCTTTTTTTTTATCATTTTTATTTATTATCTTGATTTTGAAATGTGTTATTCTCTCTTGTTTGCTGTTTGTGCTACTATTTTTGGTGATTTTAAATTCCAATTGTATCAGTTTTAGTGTAAAATATTGCCATGTCCATGCTCTAATTTGATTTGTGGGTGATTTAGTATTCCTATTTGTTTAACTAATGATATGGGTCAGAGTCTTATGTTAAAACGAATTTTAATAGGGTAATATGTATTGGTTGTTCATTGATTGAGTTCGATAAGATTCGAACAAGATATGAGTTATTCGCCTAATCTTGTCGTCCTGATTATCTTCTTCTCTAAATGATAATTTTAGTGTGCTAATTTTATATGGTATTGATTAATTTGACACAGAAGTGAATTCGGACAGATTTTATGCCTTGATAAGGTAAATCTTGTGTATTATTTTAATACTTTTTGTCAATTGATTATAGTTGCCTTAATTAAAGTAAAATTAATTCTTGTTGCATTTTAGTAAAAAATATTTTATTGAGCTAAGAATATTTTTGTTGATTTAGTTTCTCGTTTATAAGGAAAATGTTATGTTAATTGGTTTTGAAATCATCCCTTTCCTTAAGTTCTGTCAATTATTAATATAGTAAATAACCTTATTTGATATCCCTTGTTTAATTAGAATTTAATCAAATTTCTTATTTGTTTATATGGAAAAAAACTAATAAAATCTGATTTGTCTCTTAGTTATTTAAGAAAAAATATACTACTCTGCATATTTTTATATTTTACTTTCTTAAATTTGGTAAAAATTAATTTATTTGCTGATTTAACTACCATTTAAAACAAGGAAAACAATATATTTGATTGATTCCTTTAAATATTTTTTTTCCTTATAATGCTCCCCTCTTTACTATATAAATAGTCCCCCTCTCATTCTCTCATCATTCATTCATAGTTTTTATACAAGCACTCTCAGACATTCACACTCTCCCAACTCTCATTAACTTTTGCTACAATTTCTTTCATTCTCTCATTGCTCATACACACATTCAATCTCTCAACTCATCACTCATTCTTATAATACGCGTTGATAATCTTTTCTGCAGAATTGGTTAGTCCTCTTTATTAATTTTAATTTAACTTTTTGCATAATTATAATATTTATCTGTTGAGAAACAAAATAACAAGGAAGCATCAAAGTTAGTTTCATTATCTTTTTAAGTTTGATAACATAACTATGGTTATTCGTTATCTCTTTTTATGTGTTATTTACATATATGTGAGAGTAATTCGCTACTATGAGTCTACTATACTACAATTATTTCCTCATCGTATACGTGTTACATTACCTCTTCTTCCAGGTTTTTAACTTAGAGTTCAAGATGCTTAAGACTTGCCTAGAAGAAAGTGTGGATGAAGTCTCATTCATTTTATTGTTATGCATATGTTTATTCACTCTTTATTTTTACTTGTAATATTTGTACAACTCTTTAACTCTATATATATAAAATAAAATATTTAAGGGGGGGGATAACTTAAGGGAAGGAGATTTACATGCTACTTGTTTATCAAAATTTTCAAAGATAGAAATCATGTCTATAGGTTTATTCTATTTTAAATCTTTTAACAACCTAGAATTCTTGTTTGTAGGTGTTGTAATCTTACCAATTTTCAACATGTTTGACGCTTTGTTTGTTAATGAGTTTGAAAATAACTAGATTCCTATAAGTTGAATGTTAAAATCAAACCTTAATAATTTAGTAGGCTCATCGGTTAGATGTTAAAAATATGTTATAAGTTTTCAGCATTGTCTTATCACGTAGAAACCATGCCTAAGGATCAAAATGTTCTTATCACTTAGAGTTACAAAATCATGCTTACATGTGTTGCTCCGTTATGAACACCTAGAAATCATGTTTATAGGTTTGTAAACAAAGTTTTAGCATACCCATAATAAAAAAAAAAATTGTTGTGAATATTTTCGCCCCTTCTAAATTAGCTAATATTATTAATTAGTAATCTTATTTGTCCTCTTGAAGATTTTCGCACTTCTGATATATGTTTTTTTATATAAATAGTAATAAAAATAAGAAGAAAAGTTTTAATGAATTTAACAAATTTCTTGACTGTTAAATACATTTCACATTAAATTTTTTGCATTTAATTTATTGACTGCATTAATGCTCTACTATTTTTTTCCTTTTTTTTTCTTACAAAGATTTACAACATGCTTTTTTAGTCGTTGTTCAATCCTCCTTTCAAACTATGGATTGATTATGACATTCATTTTAAAATATATATATAGAAATCATAAGTATTGTCTCTTAATCTATCGTTAGTGGGAAAGTCAAAGAAATTACGAGGTCTAATTCCAATGTTTTTAAATTAAGTTGACGCGTCCCGGGGAGTACCACCTACCCATGATTTTCAAATGGGATTATGTGTAATTATATGTAAATATGTATGTGTCTATATGCAAACAATTATTTTTAATCATCTTCAAAATAAAAAATTTTATTATTTTTCTAAGACCAACCTCAAAACAAAATTGTTTGTATTGTGAAGGAGCGAGATTAACAAAATCGTGGCATCATCCCTATAAAGAAACAAATATTTTTTTATATACAAATTCTATCCAAAATTTGTTCATTTTTCAAAACTTTATTCTCCTACATCTTATTCTTATTTGGTGCGGCATAATAAATTAACTCAGCCTATCCTCTATACTTTTGTGCCTATTATGTCTTCTTGTATATCTCTTTATTAATTGCTTAAATTTTGTAATATTTTGTTATCACATAGATCGTATGCTCAAATAATAAATAATTGAAGTAATCTTAATTGTTTATTAATTTATTCTGGGGAGCTTAAAATTAAAAAAAATTAGAAATTTGTTAGCTTATATATTTGTCTATTTTTTGTCTCCTCGCTTATATATATTTAATTGATTAGTATTTGCTGTGTTTATTATTAATATCACCTTTTTAGCATTCTTAAATAATTAGTTAGAATAATAACATGAACTATTTGTTCGATTTGTTCATCACAGAGTCTCGTATATAAAAATACATAAAAATGAGCTTAACTGTTTATTTATTAATATCACCTAATCTTGCATGTTTAAATTAATAAAAATAATAAAGTAGTGTTAATTGTTTTATATTTATTATCACTTATCAAGCATATTAATAAATAATAATGAAGTGACCATATTTGCTACTTGTAACCCCCACATAAATTGCATGAGATACGGTTGGGATCCACATTTGTGGATTTTGAGGTATGTCTAACACCTTTCCCTCGAGGTAACTTGAACCCTTACCCTTATCTATGACTCGTTGACCTTAGTTAGACTTAGTTAGGTTAGATAGGTGCCCTAACGCACCTTAATTCGTTAGGTGGCGACTCCTTAAGCTCAAAATCCTAAAAGAGTTGTTAGGGTGTGTACAAAACCCGTTTTTATGAAAAATGGGGTGCGACACATACGAAATGAAGGATGTCGCTAGAATCTGGTGTAACACCCCCAAAAATCTAATGATATAAGCTAGAGCTTAACATGTAAACCAGTAGCTTAAATATGGTTAATATGATTGGCTATATGGTCCTATAGTAACTTCCCTAACTTTGTACTAAGATCCTAAGTTTGTATAACTCAATTCATGACCCTAAGGACCCTGAAGGTTCCTTGGGGAGGACACCAAGGGAAAGTCCAAAGTTATAAAAAAATATTGTGACCGTGATTGGGCACCCACGAGCAGTGGGTGGACCCACACTCCATGGATGGGAGGTGGGTCGAGACATAGTCTCCCCTAGCTTTCCCCCATTTCCACCTCTGTAACTCGAATGACGGAGTACACCACGAGGCTTGGCCCCATCAACAGTCCGTGGATGAAGGTCCTTATGTCACCCCTAAAATAACTCCTAGGTTCAGCCAAGAGGAAGGTGGGTTCATAAATACCTAATTAATTAAGGGTGGGTCAGGTTACTAATAGTTATTTTAGACATATATAAAAAAAATTGTCTATTAACCAACAGATTTAACACCTCACAACTCACAAAGTCAAACTCAACGAACTCCCCTCTCCAAAATATTTCTCTCTAGACTCCATTGAAGAGAAAAGTCAAGATCAATCTAGGGCTCCAAGAATCAGTCTTTTCTCCTCAATTTCATGTGTTATTAAACCTAAGGTATGGATGGTATTCATCTTTCGGAACCTTTCATCAAAAGAGACCCTTCAAATTGAGTTTTCAAGATTCTAAATTCCCCAAACTTAGGTATTTTCAATTTTCAACATGGGTCTTCCTCTAAAATGATTTCAATTGTTTGATTAAGGTTTATTATGGTTGATATTATTGATTTATGGGTGATAATAATGGTGTATTGTTTTATTTTGATGAATGTCTCCCTTGGACCCATGATTTCCCCTTCTTTCTAAAGTATTAACTAGACTATATCTTTATTTACTATAGAACCTTGACAATTGATCATGTTTACATTATTTATGTTATTGAAACATGATATTTCCCTATCTAGTTTGGTAATTCTAGAAGTTAGGATTTATCTTAATTATAGGCTTGAGGGCCAATTTAATAGGGTTTGTCTATGTTGACAAGGATTGTATATGAATTCATGATTTCCTAAAATTGGTGATGATCTTATGACTATTGTCTATTGGTGGTTTTGATTGCAAGATCCTTCTTCCCCAACCCTTACATATTACTTTGTATGAATGAATATGACTAAGGTAATCTTTTTGTGTTGATTGAAAGGCTATTCTTTTTAAAACACTAGGAATAATTTGTGAAAGGTTTACTCACATGTTGATGATTCTAGGGTTGAAAGGACATTCTCACCTAATAAGTCAATGAGCTATTATTTTGATATGTTGTTGAGTGCCTAATGCATTCTTTGATGAACATGAACTTAGGGAAAGACATAATGTTACTTTTAAATGGGAATTATAGCACCGAGTGGATATGAATATTATATAGAAGCTTTTACGCTAGAAAGTTTGGCTTCCTAAATTAAGAATCTCATGAGATGGAAACTTTTTACTTTAGAAAGTCCGTCTTCTAGTAGCAATCTCCTAATCCCATAACTATGTGCCCACATTGGTCTTATCTTGTGATTGACCTAAAAGATAATATATTAGTTCAACCTTAAGCAAGTAGGACATCTGTTTTCAGTGTGGGGTAAGACATCGAATTCCATGCATCTCACATGGTTTATGTCAATTAAGGATATTTTCCCTATATGGTAAAAATATGAATTATGTTAATACTATTAACTTTAGTTATGACTGCTTAAGGGGTACTATTTCTTATATGTGGGGTATGGGACTTTACTTATGCATTGCACAAGTAGACTCTAACTGGGGTTGTGGTGGGATTCTCTTATGTCATGAAGCTTATGGATTATGTATGCAAGATTTGTATGTATGTTAAGGTTGACTTTACTAGTAAAAACCAATGAACATGAACCACACAATTCTTATGTATGTTAGTTATGGATGAGGTTAAAGTAAGATATGTATGATGTTCGTGACCTAAATATGATACTTTGAATTTTGTAGGTTTATGAGATCTGACCATTGCATTGCACTATAATGGTTATGGGTTGCTTATATGTTGCTTTGACTTATGTTTCTTCGTATACGTGCATAATATCTTTTCCACTTTATAAATGCATGATTTTAACTAAATATCCCTTTTATACATGTTTGTGCATGACTTACGTAGTTAGTAATTTATTGTGCTAACCAATATTTTCGACATTCTTTGACTGTAGGTTATGATCGTTGAGACATTGTACTTGTTTCAAGTAAATCATGGGTTGACTATTCCCTAGTCTTGTTGAATCCTCAAGTTTGGGAGAAGATTTCATCTTTTATAAATTCTATTTTAGGTTATATTTTGAGGCTTTATTGATTTATAGGGCAACCCTATTTGTACTCTCTATTGTGTTAGATCATGAATGAGACAAGCTTATAGTCTTATGTTTGTCTATAAAAAAAATTGACTTCGATTGCAAAAGTTTTAAATTTTCCAAATTAATTCATGTCTTGATGTTATAATTATGATAAGGGATTATATGAGACCCCTTTCAGGGTCTACTACACCATTTTACTTCAGGGGGTAACCCTGAGCTGTGATATCTAGTTTGACCAATTCAAAAAGGATAAAGTTGAAGGTGCACCACTCATGAGTTTGTCTTTGTTTGAGGAGGCCTTCCCGTGGAATTTCTTTCCCCGTGAATTATTGGAAGAAAAGGTACCAGAATTCCTTATGCTTAACAGGAATCTATGAGTTTTCATGAGTACGGTCTGAAACTCACTAAACTTTCCCGATATGCTCTGGAGATAGTTGCTCCTATGAGTGGCAGGTTTGTTGGCTTGTCTCATTTGTCAAGTAAGGATGGCAAGGTATTTATGTTAATAAGGGATATTGACGTGACATGATTAATGATCCATATTCAACAGGTTGAGGAAGAGAATCTGAAAGATAGGGAAGAGTTCTGAAACAACAGAGCAAAAGATAGGGAATGAGTCTGGGACGTAGAGAGTAATGTCAACTAGTCAGCTTTCCAATGGAAACATAAGGGACCTACTCTATCATTTTCTAGTGCACCTACACCAAGAAACATAAGTGATTTATTAATCAAAATTCATAGAATTTTCAGAGCTAGACCTGCGTATTCTCTAGGTAGTGTGGCACAAAGAGGTAGTAATACTCTTACATATGCTAAGTTGTGTAGGTTCTACTCAGTGGTGTGCTATATATGATTGCTCAACTAGGTGCTTCAAGTGTGTCCAGATCGACCACTTTAGGAGGGAGTGACCTAAGAATAGACAGGGTAATGGTAATAGGGGCAATAGAGCCAAGTATTCTTCAATTTCCCCACGAGACAAAGCTGCATCTAAAGGTGCTACTACATTAGGGGTAGGCTGATGAGGAAATTGTCTGTATATTATCACTAGTTGCCTAGGGAAAGAGGATTCGTCAGATTTTATCACTCGTAAGATCCACGTCTTTCACATTAATGTTTATGCTTTGGTAGATGCAGGAGCAAGTTTATTTTTGTGACTCTTAATGTGGCGATGATTTTTTATGTTCTTCCTGATAATCTTCTCAAGACCTTTATTGTTTCTATACACGTTGGTTAGTCTATTCTAATAGAGATAGTCTATCGTTATTGTAATTTTTGTGTCAATCACAAGAGCGCCATGGCTGATTTATGTAAGTAAGACCTAGTAGATTTTGATGTCATTCTAGGTATGGACTTTCTTCGTGCCTGTTATACCTCAGTTGATTAAAGAACTCGAATTGTTAAGTTCCAATTTCCGAATAAGTCAGATATAGAGTGGAACAGTAGTTGAATAGTGCATAACGGTCATTTTATTTCGTACCATAAGGTGAAGTTAGTTTCAAGGGGTTTGTTAGTCCAATTTAATGACTCTAGTCTTGAGATACCTCATATTCATTCAGTCTAGTAGTAAAAAAGTTTGTAGAAGTCTTTCCGCATGATCTTCACAGAGTCCCTCCTCATAGAGAAATATACATTGGTATAGATATTCTTCCCGATACTCATCCTATCTCTATTCTTCAATATAGAATGGCACCAAACGAGTTGAAGAGTTGAAAGATCAGTTGAAAGATCTCCCAGAGATATGATTATGTGACCAAGTATCTTACCTTGGGGCGCTCTGGTCTTATTTTTGAGAAGAAGGATGGTTCCTTTAGAATGTGTATAGATTACTATTACTATCAAGAATAAGTATCTTCTTTAGAGAATTGATGATCTCTATCATCAACCAAGGGTGACACTTGTTTTTCTAAGATAAACATCAGATGTACCTATCATATGCTGAGAGTAAAAGAATGTGATATTCCAAAAACAAATTTAAGGACATGTTATGATCATTATGAGTTCCTGGTTATCTTTATTGGTTTGACCAACTGTCCTGCAACATTCAAGGACCTTGTGAATAGATTATTCAAGCCTTATTTAGATAGGTTTTTTATTGTAATCATTGATGACATACTAAACTATTAAATGACAAATAGCTAAATGAGAGATCTTAGTTAGTTCCAAATAGAAATGGGGGAAAATTTTAGTTGTTATGACAAAGAAGATAAGAGTAACCCCACTCTATACCCAGCCCAGCCATCCTTAGAGGACGAATGATCCCAAGGGAGATATATTGTAACACCCATAATTTTATACAAACTAAGACTCGAACAATCCTTCGTAGTGAGAAAGTTTTTTAATAGGATATTTAAAAATTTTCTAAGTGTTAAGGTCACTAGATGTAGCACCTTGAGTTCCAAGAAGAACTAAAGAGAATTCATTGAAGTCATTCCTAAGCTCTTCTATTAATTGGGTCAACTTCAAATGACCATAAATCTCTGCCCAGGAGGGGTTAGTTAGGATAAAAGATCTATAATAAAAAGTATCTGAATTACTTTTCCAATGCCACCAAGTTCGCTAAGTTTTGATGTCGGATGAGTGAGACATGAAGTCGAGTTTTCCAGTAGTGGAAAGTTTCCCAAAAATGATAAAAGGTATTTTTATATATTTATTACCAATTAGATGTAATTCATTTTTAGTAACGTTTTAAGGATCTAATCCTATTAGTTTTAGTTTTATAATCCTAATATACGCCTATAGTTTTAGTTGAGGGTTCAAGAAAAAAATAAGAGAAAAAAAAGAAAAAAGAGGAAAGGATCAAGATATTCGTCGAGCTTCTTGAGTTTTATTGCATATTTTAACCATGGGTTTGATCCCCTAAGAGGTATTTAAGCATCCACGGTGTTGGATTTTTTAACCCACACTCAAATCATGTTAATTTTAGCATAATTTCATTCTTGAAGTTGAAAGATTTAATTTTCTGATGAATTCTTGAGAAGTGCTCTTGATGTCCACCCTAAATCTTATTTTGTTATGGTTTTGATGATTTCTTGAGATGAATGTGAGAGTTTTGGGGTTGTATTTAGTAGATTATAGTGTGCTTTTTTTAAGTAACTGAATCTAAGTGCGTGGGGAAGAAACTATTCGATTCTAGGCGAGTTACATAAATTCGTCAAATTTTCTAGGTTATGGCCTGGTGCATCACGCCAGCCAATGCACCCCAGCGCCAGTCAGTGTGCCTAGGTTGCCTGCGCCGTCCATTTTTTAATCGGCTCCTATATTTGAATTCATTACGAGTTTACCTTCACTCCCCTTTAATTCTAAACACTCTAAGCTACTTCTAAACACATAGAAACAATTCCAACGATGATCATAACCTTTAATTCATAATTCAAAATCAATGAAGGATTAAGAGTCAAGTCTTAAGAGTTCTTCTGAATATTTTGATAAATCCATTTTGAGGAGTCTTCTACAATTTCTAATAACTTGTTTCAATACGCAAGTAAGTGAGCATGAGAGCGAGGAGAATTTATTCATTAGTCTATACTATCACCTAGATCCTTTGTATCATGAACCATAACTCTTGAATTTTAATTTACATTCAAGAGAGGGTTAAAAGTAGAGTTCAAGAAAGCATTTGAGTTTAACTGCGAATCATTTGAGATCAACTATCGATTTGAGGTAAGTTTTGAGGTACTATGTACGAGAATGACAAGTCATATACTCCGCTTCCATATTGTTATGTAGACCCTTGACTCGAGTCCTTCATGCATAAATTTAGCATGGAGTTTATTAATTGAGTATCATTGAGAGGAGTAGTATCTTCAAGTTCTATGTCTTGAGTATGGAGTTCCCAACGTTTTTGAGATTATATTTCTGATCGTGGGACTAGTAGATGTTACCCATGAAGTTCTTGATATGAGTAATTCATGCTTATAATTCTGCATGATCCTTATAAGTCGAGTAGTTACTTTGAGTGCTTGAGTTGAGTGTCGAGGCCCATAATTCCGCGAACCCTCTAAGCCAAGCATTTTTTATGGAGTATTATATTATAGTTCTTAATTTCTGAGTTTTTGAGTTTCAAGTATTGAGTTTTGAATACGGCTATTGAAAACCTTAAATTGAGTAATTCACGTCCATAATTTGGCATGAACTTTATTTTGAGAAGTCTTTTACAATATTTTAGAACCTGTTTTAAGACTCGAGCATTGAGTTGAGTAAAGAGTAAGAGTGAAGTTTATTTCTTCAAAATATAATATAGTAACTAAGTATTTCCATGAGTAAAATATTTTTAAAAATTATACAAGAGAGGGAACACCGATTTCCGAGAGAGATTTTAAGCTAGTTTTTGTGTAATAATCTCAGCAACCGAAAAAGTAATGTTTTTAAATATATGATCTTGATTTTTTTTAAGTAGTATTGAGAATTGATATAGGGACTAGTTCAGATAACTCAATTCTCCATAAACCATGTAGCTAAGTTGGTAGAAAGTATTATACTTCTTAGATGAT